AGTGTAGGCCTCCTCTAATCTCGCTAGGGAAAGGCGGAGCTCCTCCTCTTGCAGTGTTAAGTTATTCACACAGCTGGGTCACGATAGATGCTTCTGATCAGAGGTATGGTACTACCTAGCGTCCACTCTTTCACTCCGTCTCGGCAACATCCGCCTCAATGGCCCATCGTCAATACGGAAAAGTGAATACCGTAACTTCTCCTCTTCGTCATTCAGAGACTGCCATTGCTGGCCAAGTATATCCCGGCACAGTGGAGGGGCAGTAGTGCGGCAAGCCCTCTCTCGATGTCGAGGCCCCTTTTCTGGATGGACTGATGATGGTGGTTGTGAACTCCTCTGGCAAACGGCCGGAGGAGCGACCTTTCGCTTCTCATACGCCTCCGATGATTTACGTGTCACCACTGGCGCATTAACACGGGGCACGACAATCCGGGGTGGCTCAGAGTCCGGCTCGTCACAAGAGGTCTCCGTTACCATTGGTAACGGAGCTTTGACATTGCATGGCGACTGATGCAGGCGAACATACAGATCAGCAAGTCTATCCTCCCTCCCACCTTCGATGCTCCACCCGTCGTCTTACTGACTTTCCCATCTGTATTCAGTTTAATAAGAGGTGGCAGTGGTTTAGCAAAGTAGGCAGGGGTAAGAACAAGAGGCCCTCCTTTCTTCCTGCGCCGCAATAAGCGTATCTACGTGACGACCTCCCGCATGGTTACGATGTTGACAACACACCTTTCCGAAGACTTCCGATCGCTCCCTCGTGTGCTCAGTCGTAGGCTCGTCAGTGCTCAACTCAGTCCTCATACTACTAGCCACCGATTCTGCGTCGTCCAAAGGCTGTTCAACAATGTCACCTGATGTCGAGACTCAGGTGGATGCACTTCAAATACACTACACTATCGCGTGGAAGCACATAAAAGCGGGCAATGCGATAATATGCGACGGTTTGGATGATGAATTGGTGATGCAAGCGGGAGTCTAAGCCGCCGAGTCTCTCTACTGTGTATCTCTCCCCAAGCACTGCTCTCATTTCGAGTAGTCGCCTCTCTTGGCGTTTCCGCAGGGTTGGACGACTTCAGCACTCCAATACCCTTCATCATCCTCGGTCTGCTTTCAACGCATACTCGATTCGGGTGTGTCGCGACTCGAGGAAGAGCTCTTGGCACAGTAGGAGCAGGTTTTGAGAAAACCTTCCGCAAATATTGTATGTAACCTATCCGACAATCCTGAGTGTCTTCGAGGCAGTAGAATACCATTCCTTTCCTTCCTCTGATGCTCCAGTGCTACTTGTGCCGAATCTTCCCTCCCCATGCGGCAGGGCTACCGGCAACATCCTCGATGCATATAGTACGGCAACGCTCGTACCGATGGATGACGGGTAGCTTTCAACTGATGCGTCTGGTGGCGGTGTTGGGGTGTCCTCCGCTCATCAAGCGTCAAACGTGAGCCGGAGGATACGACCCAGTGGCCGCCTGACGTGAGCATTGTTGGCCACTCTCCAATTCAGTCTGCCGCGTATACAGTAACAATCTGGATGCTGAATACGGTGGAAACCGCTAGCAGAACTCAATGTGCTGGAAATCCATTTTGGAAGTCTGGAAATCCATCGATATCTGGGCGAGCGCAGAAGTGAAAAATGCGTGCGTGGATGATGAAGGTTTCGCCGAGCCGAATTTCGCCTAAAAACGTCCAACGGGTTTCAAAGCGCTTGGACATGTAATTCAGGCCATACACAGGCTCGTACAAATTCGAAGGACGTGTTGAACTACTGCTTGTGAATACAAACATCCGCTACAGGGGGCCCCTGTCAGGGGCCAGGTTTTGCAGTTCGAATTATTCCCGTATTGGAATTCATTCCTTGTTCAAGAGGCTTTGGATGTGGGTCTCTTTCACCAGAGCCGGAATGTAATGGCCTTCGATCGGGGTAGAAATGAACGAAATAAGGAATGTGTCGCATGATCAGCGCCACGATCAACATGATCAATGGTGAGAAGTTGTTGCGTACGGTGCTCGGTGTAGTCTCTGTGCTAGAACTCACGGTCAATCCTTCGTTGACTTTCTTGAGTGGCTCCTTTGCGTCCACACGCTCAAGTTAAGTGTCGCACACTCCACTCTTACAGTAAGAATGAAGCCTGCGACACTTAACTCGATTTGTGCCTCGCTGAGCAAGAGTTTTACTCAGCGAGGCACAAATCATCAGCAGTGATGCATCAGCAGTGCTGAGTCTGCACATTCCTGGGAAATAGTCTGCTCACAACAGACGAACCTTCACAATGAGTATGGTGCACACTCGCTGATCGCGTCTTGTATCACATGTACCTCGGGTTACCGAGGATTGCAGGTTGTACACGAAGCTGATTTATCATCAATCGCCCAAAACAAAACTGTCGTCCGACTAAGTTAATTTTACACATGCTATTTCTCAGCAATCAGCCATGCTGTGATCACGTATGGGTCGCCAATACCACTTGTAGGGTCACTCGCCATATGTGACTTCACCTTTGGAATATCGAAAGAGGGCTCTGCGAAAAACCGTTTCATGCCCCAACCACCGGATAAATGAATCTTTGAGAATCCAGCCCAGAGAGTTAAGACTCGATTACCGGCCGGAAGAAGCCTATAGTTGTCCGGGTACGCGTATCCTTTCTCCTTCAGTCGCTTGTTCACTTTTGTACTGCCACCCAATGGATGGCGACGGAATTTTACTGGGTTGGTAGATATGAATACTCCTCCCTTCTTCAGGACTCGGTGAACTTCTCTGTAACATTCCCACATGAATACGCTGTGCTCCACCACCATTTGCATAATAACGAAGTCGAAGGAGTCATCCGCGAATGGAAGATCCTCGCAAATTTCGTGCTGGCCTTTATTCCAGTGAGTTATCACAAATCTCGTGTTAGCCTTATCGAAGTGTCGAGCCCAACATTCCAGCCCTCCCACAGGGGGCGAAACGTTGAGGACATCTGTGTGAGCACGGTTCCGCACCCCGTTGGCGATCAACCATTGCTCGATAGTATGATGAGCCGCGATCCGGCCATATGACCCTTTACACGACTCGAACTTGTACAGTTTCGTCCCGAAGATGTGGCCCTCGAAGGTTGCGAGCTTTTGCCGTTTGATAGGAGGCCATGGGACATCGGCAGAGAGAAGCTGCGATGACCATTGTCGCCCTGTCCCACATTCTCCGACCACCGCCCAAGTGATGAAGTAGCTCTCACCATCAGACTTGTACAACGTGTCGCCAATTCGGACTCCTCCACTACTAGCGAAGCCGTCTACGCCTCGTTTGTCGGCATGCTCAGGACCAGACTTGGCTAAATAGGTCCAGAAATCCCACGAGCCCCAGCCATCAGAGAACTCTAGCTTACGGCAACCAGCCCACTCAGCCATATTGGACAGTCCCGACGGGAGAAAACGGAAATAATCATGCGCCCCTCGTTCAGGCCAGAAAAACAGCGATAGCATCACAAGATGCCCCTGCTGGCTGACCAGGCTGGTGTATTTTTCCATTTGTTTCCACGGACTGGAAGATGTCTCCAGTGTGAAGGCCACAATCACCACGTCATAGGAAGTATTCGGTAAGTTATTGGGATTAGCTGAGGTGCCCTGTGTGAAGCTGAGCAGACACGACATTGCAGATCGATCTTCCTCCTCAGAGATCACTAGTGTTCGATTCCGGCTTTGCTGTTTGAACCACCACCCAAAACCAAGTCCAATTGGGACCACATATCTGACTGCGCAGCCACGCCATCGCTCATCGAATGGCAGCTGACCTGGGGAGTGATAGTCTGAATGCACCGGGAAGGGTTCTTTGCTATCGTCTGTATGACCGCTAAGGAGAAGTTCTGGGACAGGAGCAGAAGCGTCCTTCGTTGTGACTGTCGATGGTGATACAGTGAGACGGAGTAATGATATCGCAATAACGATACCGAATATGATGATAGCAGGGAAGATGACGAGAAATATCCTCATAATGCTAATGTGCGGTACTGTCAAGTCCAAGGGAGACCCCAGCAACAATACAGCCAACACGAGCATGTCAAGGTGGTAATGTAACACGAATCTCACATGAACACGGCTGCCCATCATCTTCCTAACAACAGAGCGCCAAGAATATCGCGTTTATGGGTTGCTTCAGGAAAATGCGACCTAAGGGGGACACTTTGAGGCACAAGAACGAAGGGTATATACAGGAATTGAGACTCTCCGTTTCCTCCGCCCGACTCCTTGATAGCATGATATTGCCCATCGAAAATGAGGAAATGTTTCTTGGCCTCGTCCAGATCCCCATGATTCAACGCCGTAATGGCGAAGTTGAGATGTATGATAGCCGTAGTCGATGGATCCTCCTGAATGACTTTCTCCATTCCTTCAATACTCGCCTACCTCGCATGAAGGTGCAGCGGCAATCGCTCTAGCATATGCATTGCACGAGTTCGTATAGTCGTCAAGCCTAGACAACACTATGCCGAGATACCTATATGGTACACACTGTATGCGGCTGAGTGCTGCTGGCATCTTGCGAGATAACCTACATGTAAATGAGGGGGTGCTTAGGATCCAGGTTGAGAGCAGCCGAGAAGAACGTGAAGGCCGAGGCGTACTGGCCCGTACACGAGTGGAGCTATCAAAGTCACAATAACTCGCACAGAGTTGAGTTCGGGAATCACCAGGCCGAGGTTAAATTGTGTTCTCCACCGTTGAGGCTCAAGTGTGATCGCTCTCTTTAGGCAAGCTATTGCTGCTACTAACTTCTGCTTCTCTGAATGGACTGACTCATCATGATGACATACCCTCGAAGGTACCAAAGAAACACATGCCGACATTATTCCACAGTTCCGCACTTGAAGGGATCTCCACTGCTGCCACACGATATCTGAACAATGCTTTCTCAAGGAAGAGTAGATCCACTTACTTCACCAATGCGACATCAACATCGCCGTGGTCTTGTATGACACTTCCTGCGGCCAGTATTGTCGGAGGGTCCTTTGGATCGTAGACCAGGCTGATCGAAGGGCGTCAGAGAAAGCATCACTGCAGAATGCGAGACCTATTCCCGAGGCACTCGAACGCCTTATAGCTATCATCTGCCTTCAGTAGCAGAACACCCACTGAGGGGAAACTTCTGATGACGCGATCGTCTCGCCTACCTATTTTTACATCTAGTTAAAATTTTCGCGTTCTCTGGCGAGAATTCGAGGGCTTCAGTGTAGGTATCGATGGCAGCATGACTATCTCCGCGACGTGCTTGCCTAGAGAAAGGATATGCAATAGTTCACCAACATGCAAGGCCACATCTCTGCCAGTTCAATGTAGGTGGTATCATGACGCTGGATATCATTGGCAGCTCGGAAGCTGCTGATTGCCAGCGAGTAATTACCCAAGTATCTAGGCAACTACAGCCAATGACGTTAATCGCAATGACTGCTGTTGGCTACTTCTGACACACCCCGATGTTATAGTGCAATTCCCAATCGTCTGGATCACGTTTTATAGCCTCCGAATATATCTGCTTGGAGCTAGCTATTTCGCAAGTTGATGAAGAACTTACCTCTAGGGCGGGCTGGTGCTGCCCTAGGAAGGACAAGTTCTTTGCCACATGCTTCAGATAGTCTACCTAAGCGTTCTAATAGCTACCCCGGGTCTGGGCTATAAAGCTTTGGTAAGCAGACTGCACGCCTTACGTTCAGAGGATCTAGACTCGCTGCCGCCTGGAAGAGCTGAAGAGAACTTTGTATGTGCCCTTGTTGCTGATGAATAAGGGCTTTGTAATATAGAGCATGCCTGTGAGCAAAGAAATGCGCCAAATAGAGCTATCTATTCGGTACTGATTGAGCCCTTTAGATTCCGACAAGGTCTCCTCTATGATCCGAAGGCACTCTTCAAAATCATGCCGCACATACAGGGTATTGATATACCAGGTATTAGAGTCTCGCCTCATGTTGGTTGCCACCTAATCGACCCATCAGGATTCCCCAGACAGCCAACCCTTTAACTGACAGTCGTACTTGCCGTCCTGCAGGTCGGTTCACTCTCGGAAGTTGTGGTAAGTTCGTCATTTTCCCCTGGGGAGATGAACGCATTAATTGCACTACGAAATACTAAGACACGGTCTTGTGACTGATTTTTTGCCACTTGCAGCGTGCACAACCTAGACTTCGTTTGCAGCAGTATGTGGGCCATGAGCTTTTGCAGCATGTATTGATCTACTGAAGTTGCACCGATTGGATCATCCCCCGCCAGGTGTTGCTCTCTCTACTAGTATAGTGTCACCAGCACAATCACGAGGAAGACAGGGAAATAAGTGTCATCAGCTGATGAACAAACACAGCTTCTGCATCTGACCACAGCGATTCTCAGTGAATGTCGTCATGTAAAAGAAACTAATGTGAAGAAAATCCATGGCCTTGTCATCACCAATGACAGGAGGGGAATAGTAGCACCATACGTGTGATGCACAAGAGCTATAGTCTTTGTCTGAATGTGGCAGAAGAGGCGAGGGATCCTAGGCCGCCAGCTGTTTGGCCTGTGGAAATGCTAGAGCATAAGTCGGAGGTTACACGTCGCTGCTCGTAGTGATGCTTGCCATCACGCCCATGCCTGTGACTGACTCCCCCGTGGTGTCTTTGAGGCTGTACCTGGGCATGTTGGCGTCAAGATGCACTCAAGAACAGGGCATTTCTACCATCAGAGATGATAGATCGCCACGTTCTCCAGTACCGAGCTTCCGTAGGATATCCTCATCGAGGGTACCACTGCAGTGACTAACGCTACTGCGTGCTCCATGCGTCGGTCCCATGATAGCATTCGAACCTATCATGAGAAACATCGCGTATCTCCTCTCGTGAAGGCAGGGCACGCAGACTCGTGTTTGGCTGATGCTGCCTCCAGGTGCCTCGCATCGATTCGGCGCTCAGGGCTTCCAAAGCATCTCCCTGGCGGCGGCCAAGCTGGTTGCGGTTAAAGCCGTGGCTCCCGAGATCCTGTTGTCTTTGATGCAGTTCTCTAGCGGCCCTCCTCCTTTGCTTTTCTTCCGCTCTTTCCAGGACTTCTATTCGTGCGTTCAACTTAGCAGTCTGTTTGCGAGACTCCTCAATCTTGCATGCAAGATCAGTCCTGATAACGCCAGTATTCAATTCAACACGTGGTTGCTACTTCTTCTGTTCGATCACTCTCAGAGTATCGAGAAGCTTCGTGGACTCGTCCGCTTGTCGCGTTTGAAGTCGATTCCGAGAAGAGCTGCCGTTTTCAACCGAGGAGGCACCATGGTGGTGCTCCTGACGGGACACGCGAGCAACTGGAAACACCACTTTGATTGATTTACCCAAAATCTAAGGGCTTGCTTCACGTGTGCGAATGCTGAAACAATATAGAACGCATACTTGACATCTAAACGCATACCCATCAACAACACCTTCGTGTACATTCACACCGTAGCCCAAGAGCGCAATGAAGGAAGAGCCGTTGCTCTGGAGGGCCATCAGCTCAGATGGATCCATGGATACACGGAACCGAATGCCGCTTTTTGTACATACTGGGCACTGGTTTACCTATGTGGTGGTCCCCACAGAGAGCGAGAGTAGGTAGTCCTACTGTCTGCCTGCAGCGCTGTAGTTGTTTTCGTTGCCAAGCACGGAAGTGTGGGATGCATATTATATCACCGCAGGTCCCAACAACAAACCTATCGTGATCAAAGTAGTAGGGGTATCAAGAAAAGCATCGCTACGATGTTGGTTGTGCTTCTGCTGAAAGCGCAGTCGAGTGTCGTCTATTGGCCTCTCTGCACGACTTGACACCGCATGAGAAGCACGGCGTGTTGGTGCGCGTAGAGGGAGGCATCATCATAAAGAACCCGCCATTGTGATAGACCTACTAGTGTACAGTTCGCGAGGAAAGGTTCAAACCATCTGCTAAGCGAAACCATACGCGCCAAGGCAGGCAGAAACTGATTTGTTACATACAACACATGGGTTACCACAGATTCACCTTGACGATGCCAATGAATGACGTTTTCTCTCGAGTGCTACCAGCTCTTGCTCATACCCTGGCCAATTGACCTCCGCCTTCCGCCTTGCTTTCTCGATCCAGTCGGATCGGAGAGCTTCGAAAAACATCCGAGCTCCCTGTGATACCGAGGTAGTGCTTGCAGCCGGCCATTCCCCAATATAAATTACAGTACAGCCACAAAAGGCATTAAGGAGACTAAAGGCAATAGGTTGCGGCTCATGTGGTGGCCAACTCAACCACAAGACGTCCGCTCTCGGCATAGCACGGACCGATTCCAACGCGTCTCGAGCACACACCGGTGTGACCCACAACATAGAGGGTGATGCAGGGTGGGAATCAGAAACCTCGAAACTTGATGTCCAACCTAGCCCTCGCATGAGATAGCAATGCCAGCCTGTACCGGCCAAAGGGTCGAGGATGGTCAGGGGATGATACGTTTTATTAGACCGTTCCATAAGCTGAGTCTGGAGCCATTGGATATCACTTATAGAGATAAGTGCCCAGGCAAATCGATGACAACAGTACTCTCGCCAAACTCGTACGAGTTGGAGTACCTCCAAGGGCACGGCGTTCACTCGGGCAGACATCATGTACTCGGCAGCACGACGTAACCGCATCAACATTTCTTCGTAACGCTTAACCACATCCGGACTCTCTCGGGAGCATGCTAGAGCCCTCCTAATAGAATCGAAGAGCGGCAGGAAATGAGGGAATGAGGACCGCTGCATAGCTTGTCGTGCCTCATGCACAGTACCCTTATTCAATATCCGAGCCGTTACCCGGTCATACCTCATAAGCATGAGGTTCACGTCTTTCGGATCGGCAATAGCAGCATGGTTCGAAGACTCAGCGCAGTGTACTATCTGTGCCGCCTTTCCGCAACAGTGAAACGGGGATAATCTCATACAGAGTGAGAACCAGATTAGGACCTCCCCGACCGGCACACTGTTCGTGACAATAGACTGACAACACAACTCACTCCGGCACATTCACATCGACATGCGCACTCTAAAGACGTACCCGGCATGTTGATAAGCTCATCAACACATGTTGTGCATCATAGTACGCTCAGGGTGGCAGACTGCCGTCATCTCGAGCTGTTCCTCAAAGAGTCTCGGAAGGGGCAGAAAGGGCGTTAAAACCTCGATATCGGGGTCATCGGGATCCGTGCATGCCTAGTATATACTATAGTATATCTAATCAGGTACTAGATGATAGGAAGATGGTAAACATGCGATAATGGACATGAGTAATCACCGTAGAACAGTGCCTGCTGCCAATGGCCGATACGCTACCAGGCCTTTTCGTCATACTCAAGATCACAGCAGCAGAATCATAACGAGGGTGAAAGCGACGTTCACGTTGCTCCACGATACTTTCTCGTGTCCCTCACCCTCCGCAGTCGCTACTGCTGTGGGAATGCTGCTTAACCCATTGCTCGGCCCCAACCCTTGTGGAGACTACCGTTTCAGTGTGATCCTCTCGACGATCGCAAGTCGTATGGTTCGGAGGGCTCACTTGATGACCAGTATCATCTCTGACCCTGACCGAGGGCTCTGTCGTGGACCGAACTATAGGTATAGCCGGGGACTCCCAGGATACTAGAGGTTGCCGAGATTAGAGTAGCGGTGGCAGGCATCAGTGGAGCTCTTATCTGCGATATCCCCCTCCACGATCGAAGTAGAGTTTCTGTGCCACTGCATTATACTTCGAATGCACATGAACACCACCTTCGGTTCAGCACAGAAAATCGGTATATCATCAGTAGAGCGGTCCACAGTCCTGCATAGGCAAAGGTTGCCCATCATCTTCAGCTGCATTATACTGAAGAAGTAGTAGTATACCTATACTCGACAATCCCAATAACGACATAACCATCTTCAATTGACGCTAGCCTCGTTTGGCTTTACTATAACACAACATGAGAGAATCCAGTGAATGTAAACTTACACAACAGACGTATCGAGTAACCATTGTGATACTCCTGTTACCGAGTGAAGTCACCAGAAACTTAGTTGCTATGGCTTATCTTACGATCCTTGCCAATAGACTTGAATTTGGCTAGAGAAGGCCTAAAACCGCAGCAGACTCACTCTTCCACAACAACGTGTACCAGTGCTACCGGTTAGGATTCATGAACTCCTTCACTATCTCGTCAGTCACCTTAGCCCTGGCCTCTTGATGAGCCTTCGTCAATTTCACCAATTCCTCTACCAGAATGTTCTTCACCTACAATGAACAGCAATAGCATAATCCACCCTTGCTAGCTCATTGTACCTCTCCCGTAAGGAGTTTTCCGGAGGAATATTCCTCCCCGATCTGCTCGAACTTCTCATCATCCTCCATGATGTATCTTCAACACGATCAGTGATGCTGATGCTCAAACTATATGAAGGAGACTCACCGAAGATACTCATAGGCCACATCGACCTCCAGATTAGCACCATACTTCCTCTGCTCCTCAGCCGAGTCCTGTCCCCCAGAGAAGCAGTACTTCATTATTTTGCTCTTAATCTACGTTGATAGAAGTAATCGCCCTACTTTAAAACCTCGCACCCTACCTCCTTCGGGCTATCAGTGACCATGATAGTAGTGTTACCGACGCTACCACTCATCTTTGTCTTATGGCCTTGCAGAGCAGGGAAGAACTTGGAGTGAATGAGAGCCGGTTTGAGCATACCCATTCGAGGTGCCACGTCCCTATCGAGTACATTCTCTCTCTCAGCTACCGTTGAGAACCTACCTAGTAACCCGAAAGTAGGGGTCCTGATCGATGGCCTGGGGGATAAGGCACATAATATCCTTACGGTCACCGAAGATCGAGGGGAAGGTAGTAGAGAATGAAGGGCTAGCTTGAATAGCACAGAAACTAGACTTAGCAACGCTATCAGAACCTACAATGTTAATTACATCATGCCGAGTGATGCCTTTCAACCCTCTTCTACCCGTAAAACCGAATGCCCCACGTGCCTGGTTGTACGTGACCAGCTTCTGAATCTTACATACATTAGGATACCTACTCCTCGCATAGAACAACAGCAATGCTACGAAGATTCGTTACATAGTCCCCATATAGTCCAAGTCAGAGAAAATGAAGGTCTTGTCCATATCGAAGCCACACGCGATGATGTCCTTAGCGTTCTCGTATGCTAGTCGATGAGCCTCCTCCAGTGACTACAATACGGAAGGCCTTACTATCGTAGAGGACGACATCACAACCTACCAAGTAATCCTTGAAGAAGAACTTCTCATCATCAGTCAGTTGGATAACCAGAGGGACGTCGAAGGTATCCTAATACGCATTGAATTGGGTAACGAGCTTTGCGGGAAAGAGTCACCACCTGCAACCACTTCGTAAATTGGAAAGGGACCAAATGTCCAAGATGAAGGGACTCAGAGGAAGGACCCCGACCAGTGTACAGGTAGAAAGGAATACCTAAATCGCATCCCTCGAGGAAAGTGGGGCGACCGATAGCACTACTACCTCTCTCGTACTTGTCGAGTAAAATGCCCAAGTCACGATGAGAGAAGAAGAGTCCCCTTCGGAGGAAGCGATGTGCCTTCTTCCCAGTGAGCTTCTCCATCCTGTCAATCAGCTTCTGATCGATGGGTGAGCAGCCGAAGTCGCGGATGAGCTTATCGTAATCGATACCCTAGAAGGGAAGACGTCTACGTGCCACACTAAGAAGAGTCAGAATACCTCATCGCTGCCTTCCACCTCCCAAGGGGTAACCTTCTGACCCTCCGACACACCAAGGACTCCATCTTGGCTGAGTTGCTCTACAGAATGAACGAAAATTACAGTCGCAGTATAGTGCTTCAAAGTACCATCAGGAACGTATGGTACAGCGATATCAAGGGGAGGGAGATCTTCAACGTTACTGTCCTCCTCTGCCATCTCAAAAACGTCACAAGGGGGATCCACTGAGACTTTCTCAATAACAGGTTACAACGAAGAGTAGGACTAACCTGTGAAGGAGATCTCGAGAGTAGATTTCTTGGCAGAATACTTCCATTTGGTAAGGTTTATATCGCCCAAAAGGCCAGTAGATTTTACAATAGGATGCACCTATCATGTAGTGGTGTCTCCAACATGAGAATGCGAAGAACATTACATTGCAGTTGAGGTTCCACTGTTCTAAATACACTAACCGAAGCTCCTTCACGGAGTCGGGGACCTTGAAACTATCGTACATGGTATCAAAGTACTTTTTCTCGGCGAGGTCACGAGGGACTCCAGTGAAAACCTAGTTACGAGGCCTAGAATAAAATTTAGTGCAAGCAGGCTTACCTTGAAAGGTGCGTTCTCCTCCACTTTGTTATGAACGTTGGTGACTATCAACTCCTTCTGCTCCTCTGTGGGCTCATCCTATGCGAGAAAGTATGATATAATGGGGTAGTCTGAAGCAACGCAATACTACCTTGATAGCGTTCAGAGTGAGTTTACCGCCACCCTCGTGAGGGGATACCCTGTCAGTAGTCCGGCCAGTGGGTATACGGAGAACCTGACACCATGTAGCTGTTGTCCCCTCCAGCCCCCTCCCCCCACTCTATTACCGTGCAAACCGCTCCCTTAATAACGTGCAATGCAGCATCAAAAGCAGGAGATCTAGTGACAGTCTTGGACATGGAAGGGGGTAGGAGATGAAGGGGAAAACTACAGATGGGGACCTCCACAGATTTAGGACGACTATAGCAGCAACGGCCGTGGAAGTTGTTGGCGGAGCGACGCGTTTTTAGAAGTTGCCATTTCTGGTGGGGTCGATATGCCAAAGGTATTATAAAGTGAGGAGTCGAGTACGCAAGATTTCCAAGATAGCTATCATTTTCATATTGATATGTGAGGGTATCTGCGGCCGTTCCGCACTTTCACTACTGTAGGAATTCTAGTTATGGTCTCGATAGTATTCGTGTATTCCAGTTCGTCAGGTATAGGAGGACCGCTGGACCCTGCCATTCACCTATCTGAGCAATTATCACAACGCTCATATCTGCTTTGTAAGATGCTCTTCAGGTCCGCGATAACTCCCGTGAAGGCAGTCTGCTAGGGACGTTGGTCGGTGATCCTATTCGTGCTTGTTCACAGCAGTGTGGGGGAACATGCGTATGGTCAACCACATGTGCTGCGGACGATATAAAAATTCTGAGGGAACTTAGAGAATTTCTTATCTGTCTTCATACTCTTCTTCTCGAATTCGAATTTAAGCTTCTATAATAAGCGAGTAAACTCCTGGGCTCAGCTGAGGGGACCGACCATAAATTCCAACACTGGTGCACGGAAAGAGTGATTGGCTTGTGAAATAGTCCTTTTATTTTCAGCCGTAATAATGCTTGCAACGTCACCCATAATTAGTCCATCTCCCGACCTATTTTACGCCTCTTTACCTCTGGTCGTCCCTTACATCGGAGTCAGCGGATCCCTCAGATCTCTTGGTTTGGTATCCAAGCTCGCCCGCTGCCTCGTATTGGAACCAACCTCGTGGTCTCATGCTGATTTGGAACCCCCTTTATCTACTGCAGTATGGTCGATGGCCAAGTACAAGACCGTGGTAGCCATGTTCACCTGCGTGAGTGAACTAAGAGTCCACGGTAGAGTTGAGCCTTTACCAAAACTGCTGCTAACGCTATCGACGGTGCAGAGGCTTCGCCGGCTCGAACTGATAGGAGTTACCTCTTCGCCTATGTACAGCATTCTAACGCCCTCTTCAGCCTCAACGGACCCATTGACTCATCTTGAGTCTTTGATAATTGGATTCCGACATGACGACGTCATAACTTACCCCTCGGCTCGTGCCACTGCAGGCTCTGTGCTTCACACTCGACTAAGGGAAGTGCGGCTAACAGGGATCGATTTTGGGCCTAGTACTATCGATTACGACACATTCTCTAATGATAACGGCATCGCTCTATGGCTGATACACTTCCTGGCTAGTTGCCCGGTACTAGAGACTTTAGATGTATTACAAAGGTCTAGACGGAGGGAGGAGAAGCTTGACGATGATCCGGATGCCGCTCGACACATAGTATTTAGTAGAGGTATGCCTACGTGGAACGGTAGTGGTCATCTTAGAAAGTTCCATCTTGGGCTATGGTCCGACAGGGTGGCTCAAGGCTCATCTATAGAGTATTCGCAG